CCCCCATGTGTTACCCCCGGGGGCCGGTGTTATTGGACCCCCATCCCCAAAGTTGGGAGCCCAATTGAGTGACAACAAATTGGAGACCCGATCATCTCAGACCCCCCCTCCATCCCCCTCCGAGGACTGAGTGTGAATTTATTTCACCGCAAGCGTCATGGCAACGCATCAAACACAGAGACCCCCCCAAAAATTTTTTTTTACTGGGGGTCCAAGTTTGGGCTTTTTACCTGCAGCTCAGGAGGATCACCCGTTTATAGCACCGGGGTCCTGGAGCCAGTATCTTATGGCGTAGGGGGCCCAGATCAGGACAAGCAATGAAAGGGTTAAGTACTATGACAGTGTACGTACAGCCAGATGGAGTAGGGAAGGGTTAAGTACTGCCTGTGTCCCCATGTGGAGATTTCACTTCCTGTCCTGGTGACACAACAGGAAGTGAGATGAAATCTCTCCTGTGTGAGGAGACAGGTGTCCCCGGTGGAAGATTTCCTCTCCATTCCTGTTCTGGTGACAACAGGACAATTTAGGATGAATGCCACCCCAGTGGGGACCTGACAGACGGGTCCCTTCTGAGCTGCACCCCGACCCTCATATACAGTACAAACGAATGTGACACAAATCTCCTCCGAGGAGCTGCTACAAAGTGACGCGTCATGTGACCCGTGACCCCTCCCTTTAACCCTTTCACTGCCGGTCACCACTCGGCTTTCACTAGTCTGTCCTCACTCACCTGGAATCCTATTGGCTGCCATTGTCATCTATTTATATCAACATTCATTATTAAGACCCACGAGGTCATTGGAAGTGCGCGCCGTGGCGCTGGAGGGCCGAGCGTGGGTCTCTATGCAATGCAGGCAGATCATGGTTGGTGGGAGGGGCCTGCAGGGGGCTGTACATAGCTTCCTGAAGACATCACAGCACCCTGCCTCAGTACTACTCTCAGGAGCCCTCAGCCCTGATGAAAGCAGTGGGAGGAGTTATGCAAATATGAAAATGCTTTGATGGGTGTGTCTCAGTCTGGAGGTATGGGCGTTCCTAGGCAGGCTGTATTTGCATAGGTAACGCCCACATGTGATGCTGCTGCATGATTGAGAGAACTGAAATCCAATGAATGAAAGGGGCGGGGCCAGGGACAGTCAGGCTGGGCAGGAAAGCACTAGATGACGCTTGACCTCCTCCAGCCAGGAAATGAGGCGGCCTCTATCTGACTTGCTGCAGCTTCTAATGCGCATTGTGAGGAGCTCCCAGTGTGCAGAGACATCCGAGGAGGAGGAGCCGCTACAACTGTGCAAGACTGAAGGGAAGGACGGAGGTCAGAGAGAAGACTGAAGGGAAGGACGGAGGTCAGATAGAAGACTGAAGGGAAGGATGGAGGTCAGATAGAAGACTGAAGGGAAGGACGGAGGTCAGATAGAAGACTGAAGGGGAGGACGGAGGTCAGATAGAAGACTGAAGGGAAGGTCGGAGGTCAGATAGAAGACTTAAGGGGAGGACGGAGGTCAGATAGAAGACTGAAGGGGAGGACGGAGGTCAGAGAGAAGACTGAAGGGGAGGACGGAGGTCAGAAAATAGGTTGTCACCCTATAACAGGAAGTCTCTGTACAAGGACCTCCGTGGCGGGATCACCGGGGATTATTATAATGAAAGTCGCAGATTTAATTAGATTCTGATAAAGTTCCGATGAGATTTCAGAAGTCGGTTTTGGACTTACGTTGAGTTCTGTTGTCTGAGGGGGGGGAGGGGACAGTGAAAAAGCGGTGCTCCTGCTGCACGGCCGATCCTTCACCTCCAAGACTTGGGAAGATCTCGGCACGCTGCAGATTCTCTCTGAACACGGATATCGCGCCGTCGCCGTCGACCTGCCAGGTAATTGTCCTCCTATTAGGAGGCCCCATGAACTCGTCTCCGCTCCGGAGGCTCCGCCTACTGATGGGTGATGGGCGCCTGCCACGAGAGGTACAAGGTCCGCCATTGCTGCTTTGCTCCCCGTCTGGCTGTACTCAATGGCAATGCATGTGCTGGGAGGCCCATAGGAGTCAATGGCAACGCATGTGTTGGGAGGCCCATAGGAGACAGTGGCAACGCATATGTTGGGAGGCCCATAGGAGTCAATGGCAACACACATGTTGGGGGGTCCATAGAAGGCAATGGCAACGCATGTGTTGGGAGGCCCATAGGAGTCAATGCCAATGCATGTGTTGGGAGGCCCATAGGAGTCAATGGCAATGCATGTGCTGGGATGCCCATAGGAGTCAATGGCAACGCATGTGTTGGGAGGCCCATAGGAGTCAATGTCAACGCATGTGTTGGTGACAGATCTTAACCAGCCTCGGTCAGAGGCTGCTAACTTATATTAATATATTTTATTTTCAGGTCCAATGTATTGTGATGTAATACTGCAGTATGGCCACTAGGTGGCGCTGAGGAGCACATTAAATGAATCCTTATGGGGTATGGCCACTAGATGGCGCTGAGATACATAGAAAATGTTTCCTATACTCTTCAGCTCCATCTATTGGCCATAATGGGGTATTACTCCTCCCGCTGCAGACAGCCTCAGAATTTGGCCTTTTAAAAAAAGATATTTTATTATTTAATCCGCCCCCCCCCCTGTCCCCTGGGGAGCGTCTGACGAGCACAGTGTGCATCTTATTCCAGGATACGGCCAATCGCTGCAATCTCAGCCAATGTCGTCGGAGAAAGGACGCACGGATTATCTGCTGCACATCATGGAGTCCCTGGGGACCCGCCAGCCGGTTCTCATCAGTCCATCCATGAGCGGCCTGTTCTCCTTACCCCTCCTCCTGCAGCACCCGGACCGCCTGCGCGGATTCGTCCCCATCGCCCCCGTGGGGACCAAAAGCTTCAAGCCGCAGCAGTACCAGCAGATCCAGGTAGGTCCGTGGGGGGGGGCTAGCCTGGGACTGTATAGACCTGTGCTCTATGGGTCACACAGCAGATTTAAAGGGCCAGTCCGTCTACGTGGACCCTGGTGGTCAACCTCTGGCTTCTTTTATGTTTTGGAGACTCAAATGGCGATTCCCCCCCCCTGCCAAAATTCCACACTCTCCACTTGACCATCTGGAAATTTTGGGTCTTCCTAAAACCTTGCAAATTCTTCCTCCTGCCTGCAGCTGACTGATCACTGGGGGAGGGGAGACTGAGGAAAGAGCTGCTGACAGGTTCCCTTAACTCTTCAGCCTCCACCTTACACTGACCAATCACTGGGGGGGGAGGGGTCGGCCCTCGTCTCATGTTGTCCGGGAATTATTATATGTATAATAGAGCGCAATGATTGAATATTTCCCTCCTGTACCCCGCGCAGGTTCCCACCCTCATCGTCTACGGCACGCTGGACACCAATCTGGGCAGCCAATCCCTGGAGAGCCTGCAGATCCTGCCCAATCACACCCTCAGCCCGCTGAAAGAGGCGGGGCATGCCTGCTACATGGACAGACCCGAAGAATTTCACTCCTCCCTGCT